GTAAATAATCGACGTTTGAGCTTAAATGTGGACGAAAAGTTTAACACTTATTTTCAAATTACAAAGAAACGGCTGTGCAGATCGTCTCACAAAACTGACAAACTCCTCATTGAGATACACCAAATGGCTTTTAAATTTCTGAATCGGGTAATTTTTTGAATTTCTAATCCAAAATTACAAAAATATTTTATGGAAAATAAAAAAGATGTAATATTTTTTTATCCTCAAAAGCAATTGTTTTGTCAATACAAGCAAAAAGTTTTTTAGATCATTCAAATCGGACGCTTAGTTCACTCAAAAACAGCCATTTTCTGCACTCTTTGCTCCGTATCTCCGTAACGACTGGACCTGTCTTTACCAAAAACTAACCACCTCTTTTCCCAATCATTACAAATTGAATGTTTTTTAGATCATTCAAATCCGATACTCCGTTCTCTCAAAAACTCGATTAGTATTTTCTGCACTCTTTGCTTCGTATCTCCGTAACAGCTGGACCTGCCTTTGCCAAAAACTAATCAGCACATCTCCCTATCAATAGGGATCGAATGGTAAATGAATCATTCAAACCGGTTGATCCGTACGCCCGAAAACGTGGACAAAAAATGCGGACATACAAAACACGCTCACACACATCCATTTAGTTTCTGAGGTATGCCAGTAAAATGTTCTGAAACCTTCAAAACGTTGAGAAATGCAAAAATTTTCATTTTCGATTTTCGGCCCATTATATACTATAACTACCTTACGGGAAGTTTGAAAAAATTAGATTTTTGAAAGTTTGACATTATTCACAAAAATTGACTTTTTTGTGCATTTTGACTTTTTTGAAAAATTTGATTTTTTTGAATTTTTTTGATTTTTGAGGTTTAGAAATCGCTTCTCTTGAAAATTATTCTTAGGTAACATTTGATCCAAATGTTATAAAATAAAATAAAATTTTAAAACAAAATCATATCCCCACTTTAGAATTTCCCATGTCATCTGTATCTATTTTATTGTGAACAATATTGTCCGGTGAGGTCACGCTGTGCTGGGTCATTACAATTGATTCGAAACTGATGTTATTTTACACAGGCAAAGGCAGAGGCAGGGGTCCCTACTAATAACACTTTATTTCTACTATCTGGTAGACAGACGACACTCAGTTTAAACATGACAGGCTAATCTAATTGTCGTCGTACTTGTCGAAAAATCGAAATAAATTAGTTAATCGATAGATTTTGGGGAGTCGAAACGCCGGGACGACTCTGCGTGATCGAGTGATACAGTTAAAGAAAGTGTATGCAAATTTAGTGCATATAAATAATATAAATTTCTTTTAAAAATTTATTTTATGATCCATTAAGTTTGGTTTAAATCCTAGTCTTTATTCAGTGCAAACTAAAATTAAAATTTAAAAACTAAAACAATTCTGTTGAAAAAAAAATTGAGAAAAAGTTATCAAGAGTCGAACGTACTTACAATTTGTCAATCTTAGTGTTAAAAACTAAAAAATTAAAAAATATTGATAATCCATGGTATGATTGTAATTTTTAACTTGTAATTATAACAATATTTCACTAAAATTAAATTTATAACCGAACTGTAAGTGTGTTACTCTTGATGTGTTATCTATCAATATAAAAAACTGGATTTTTTTAGAAAAAATTACCACGTGCGAATTTTTTGCACAATTTTTATTGTTTAGTAAAAAATTACAATTATTATCTAGATAATGTTTGTAATATATTATAACCGGTTAAATAAGATCCTTTACAAATTCTCCTATTGTATATATTTTTTTGTATATTGTGTTTTAACGTGTTAATGTGTTCTGCGAGCATAGTTTTAAATTGTTTTGGATTTTTAAGTATATTTTTATGTTTCAGTAACCGTTTTTGTTATTTTCTGGCCCGTTTCTCTTATATAAACTAATTTGCAATCTCGTTTCAGGATTTTAAGAAAAAAAATTACCAAGTGCGAATGTTTTGCACGTTTTTTATTGTTTTGTAAAGTCACAATGTCAAGTAATCTTATTGGTTAAATAAGATTTTTTATAAATTCTCCTTTTTTATAAATTTTCTTTAAATATAGTACAGTCGGATTAAAAAAGGTTATATTGTGTTTTAAAGTGTTAATGTGTTCTGTGAGCATAGTTTTAAATTGTTTTGGATTTTTTTTAAATTGATTTCAATTAAAAGTTAAATGAAATTAATCAATTTTTGGCTCATTTCTCCTTCAAAAACTAGATTGCAATCTGGATAGTTAATTTTTTGAAAATCATCTGTATTTTTTGAATTATTTTTATGTTTTAGTGAGCGTTTTATCAATTTTTGGCTCGTTTCTCCCATGTGAACTAAATTGCAATCTAGACAGTTAATTTTTTGTTTTTAACGCTAATATTAGCAATTTGTAAAAGAAATAAAAGTTTTCCATATATATGAAAATTAATAAATATTTTTCTGCTAAAACAACTCTAAAAAGATTATTAGATGTATTAGATGTAATATTATAATATTTTGTATCAATTCACACATAAAGTAAATTAACGACATATTTTTAACTTGATAATATTGAACTTTATTAAATTAAATTAATACTAGATTAAATGAAAAATGTTATGATTCACACATTAAATTCTCTTATTAAATTTAATTTAAAATTAAATTGCATTTTAGTTAAAAGATTAATTAAATATCTATAGTTAAATATTTAACAATTTCATATTTAAATAAAAAGAATGTTAAAATATTCATGAATTAACACTTTTACTTCAAAAATTCTCGTTCTCATTAAAATATTATTTATGCCTTGTATTTTAAACTAAATCATTTATTAACAACTAGTGTGCATTATATTTATAAACAATTACAGATGTGAGTGTAAACTAAATGATGTGTATTTTATAAAAAAAAAAGTTTAAAACATTTATTTTGGACTACACATGTTAATGGAAAATGCTTCAGAAATGAATTACCTTTTTGCTTAATTGCAAATCGACTAATTCATTTGCTGCTAAAACGTTTTTTGACTGAAGTAAGTTAAGAAATTTATTTTTTTACAAAAGTCAATATTTTCAAAGCATGAAACAATATTTCTTAAGGCAAAATCCCACTTACACCTAATTCCTTTTACTGTTAAACATTTTTTCTATACCAAATGCTACTAAACTAGTTTCCAAACAAAGATTTCCTCACGCACACTATGAAGAAAATCTTGCAAAATTTAAATTCTGTTTGGAAACAAGTATTTATACTAATTTCCATAACCCGATATCACCAAACCTACTATGTAAGATATCTAAAAAAATACAAAATTTGTTTGGAATTTAGTATAGTTCACTAATTTTTAGAGAGTAACATATCAGGGGTATGTTCAGGCAACTTGCCTTAAGGCAAAATGCCACTTACAACTAGTTACTAGATAGTAGATACTTTTTATAATATGGGTGTATGTTTAATTTGCAAAGATCTAAGGTCATAGCATTGGCCTTTGCTTCGGAAAAACAATACGGTTATTGTTACATATATATATATATATATATATATATATATATATGTATGTATATGTATATATATTTGTATATATATAGTTTTTCCTGACTATAATATGCGTTCACTTACCATTGTTCTATTTGATTGCTAGGTTTCCCATGTGATTCCAATCAATGAACCGTATATAATGTGTACTATATATGTATATATATATATATATATATATATATATATATATATATATATATTATCTAAGTTACGTCACATAGTGTGCATATGTTAATTACAAGAAAAGTTGTACGTAATACTTTTTTTGCTTTGGTATTTCTTGCATATCGATTTCGAGTTGTATAAAAACTAGTGGTATATGGCATCGTGCCTTAAGGCAAATTGCTAGAACTTTCCGTACCTTGATGAAATATTCGAGGCATTCTTAATGTTTCAAATAGATTATTACTAATATTGTTACTTTTATTATTCGTATTTAATAAACGAAATATAAATTAGACGACTACCTTTATAATCACATTAATAACATGCTATTAATTAATGACCCTCATATGTTTACATGAGAAGTAAATGAACAAAACTTGATTAAGTTGAGTTAAAACTAAAGGACCTTATCTCATATTTCTCAAGAATTATATAAAATGAATTGCAAAGTTTAAATTATTTATTTCAAATCCGAATCATCTTTTAAAAATTTTTTTTTTGAAAATTAAAGAAAATAACTTTTACAATTCAAGAACTTTCTTAAGGAAACCAAAAACTAATTTCTACAAACGAATTGGCTATTTTTATTATTTGTCTAATTTTTTTTAAATATTTGGTATCAAAATTATAAATATATCGCTTTCATATTTGTGATACAACTTGTGATACAAAAAACAACGATTTTTCTTAATTACGAATATTACAAATATAATTAAAGTTTTTGCATATCATTACATTTCAAAGGTTTCTGAATATTTACAAACAGACAAAAAAAGTTAGGTGTTTATGTATATGTTCGGATACAATTTTTTTGTCAACGATTTCAGGAGCACAGATCAATTTAAATGATTGAAATGAATTAGAACTTTTTTTTTAAATTTAAAAATAATTCAGATTATCAAAATACAACATTTAGAATTAAAAAAATCCAAAGCCCATTAATATACTTGAAATAAATTATTTTAAATTCGTAATTAATTTTATACAATTCTTAAAAATATGGGATTAACAAACTACCCTTAATTAGTTTTGTGTATTTACTCTTCATGTAAATATATTTAAACCTGGTCGTACAATTTACAAGCACTTCTATTTTGTCTATAAAATACTAATAATGAAAGTTACAGTATTTATAATTATCTATTTGAAAACATTTAAAATTTGTCGAATACTTCATTACAGTACGTAAAGTTCTAGAAATTTGCCTTAGGGCACAATTCCATACAGCATTAGTTTGATTAATTATTTGTTAATATTTAACGCAATTTTAATATAGATTTTTTGCTTGAAGTAAAATATTTTTGTTGTTTGCAGAAAACGCCAAAGAAGATCAGACAGGCTTCGGAAAAACTTGCATCAGGACCGAAATTAGTGATCCAGGTTAGTAAAAGTCTGTTTTAAATATTCATTTTTATATTTAAATGATTTATTTTGAAACATATTTAATTTGTTTAATTTTTGCTTGTAATTTCAAGAGAGATTGCTTTTATTTATTATCTTATAAAATCTTAAGTTACATATAAATATTGTACCACCATAAGGAAAGAATGCAGATATTGAAAAAAAATATAAAAATTAATATATACATAGCACTATTTTTCTGTTAAAATATTCACCAATTTTCCTGATTCTGCAAATGTATTTTAATAATTATTTTATTCATTAACTAAATTTTAATGTTAAATTTCTCTAACAAATATACCCTCTTGAAATACAAGCAAGAATTTCATGTAAATTTTCTTTTAAATTATACTTTTATACTATCGTTCAATTTATATTTATATTTATTGATTTTGTATGCTTTTTTATTTGTGCATTATTGTTTGAATTTTTTGTGATTTTGTGTTTATGATATGTTTTGACTTTTTTGCTCTAAAAAATTTCTAAAAGTTTTTTGTTGTTTTTGTCCATCATTGCTCTATTTATGTGCATGATTGCATAATAAACTAAAACTAATATCATAATTTAAAATATAATAAATAGAACATTGCTTCTATATTATATTTATCATAGCCTTTCCAACGAAAGAAAATTAAATAAAAAAAAATAGCATCATATGCAATTCGAATAAAATGAAATTATTCAGAAAAATATTTTTTTCTTAATTAATAATTTTTACCTCTTAAAAAAAACTATATAAAAAATAGTATTTTTTATGTAGATTTATCTAATAAAAATTGCAAATTGTTAATTATTTTAAATTATAATAATAAACAATAAGGAAAATAAATTCTCTTAATTAAAAAAATATGTTTTAAAGACCTGAAGTTAATATCAGTATTAATTCCTAATCCAACTAATTGCTACATACAATTAAATTAAATTTCTCTGATTTTGTGTTTGTTACAAAACTAAAACATAGTTTTATGAATAAAAGTTTATTATATTCCAACTACTATTGTTTAGAATTAGTTTAGTGTTCTGTTATTTTTTAAAATATTTTTTTATTGTTTTACCAATTAGCAGTCAACTAATGACGTTTGCCTATATTAACGCAATAGACAGTGGTGTATTTTGTGAAAACATCAAGAAAATATGCAAAATACATGTTAACCTATTCCCAGTCGTACTGAACGTGATTACAAAATTTCATAGAAATCAGTCAAGTCGTTTCGGAGGAGTTTAAGGACGAACATACTAAAATCTATAAAGTCTTAACAGTGCAAGAATTTTCATTCAAAAGTGTGAAAATTTAAGGTTAAGAATCAAGTAAAAATCAAATGGTGGCTAAACTTGATTACGAAGTTTTATGAAAATCGGTCAAGCCGTTTCGAAGGAGTATTGGGTCTAACATACTAAAATCGCTAGTATTAGAATTTTTTAAAGTATTTTTTCCCGATCCTGAATACACCACTAGTAAAAAGTCTTAACAATGCAAGAATTATTATTTATGTGTTGTGAATGGATTGCTAAATCGTATTTGGAGCTTAGTTCGATTTTTGCTACACTAACAGAATGTGTAAATAAGTTACAGTCCTAATTGGATGATGATGAGAATTGCAGAGGCGGATTTAAATAGATAAATGACACTTGTAATTGGAAATATTGAAAAAATAATTAATTTTTAGTAATAAATTAGTGGTCTTTAAGAAATTTTGCTGGAACTTTCTGTACTTGATGAATTTTAAATGTTTTGGAAATGGATTATTATAAATACTGTAAGTTTTATCAATTGTATTTCATAGACAAATTATAACAACTTATGAATTACCTGACCTTGATTAAATTAGACTTAAATGCAAGGACCTTATCTCACATTTCTAAAAATTATATATATATAGCCTATTAAAGCTTGTCTTCAATTTTACATAAAATTGAAAAAGTGCTCCGCCAAGTCACATTCTAAACAAACTTGTGAATATGATTATACCAGGTTGTAACTTAGACTGTGTCTAGGGATCTTCTTTGTTTTCTTCAATAATTTTCACAAAATCGAAAAAGTGCTCCTTTCAAGTCACATGCTAAATGCAATTGCGAATATATTTGTACTAGGTCGTAACTTGGACTGTGCCTATAGTAACTTCTTTTTTTTCTCAATAATTTACACAAAATTGACAATTTGCTCACATTCTAAACGCCCTTGCAAATATATTTGTACTAGGTTGTACCTTAGATTGTGTCTTGATTGGCTGTTTTTCTCACTTTTTTCAATAATTTCATTTTTTTAAATAATTTTTACAAAATTGTAAAAGTGCTCCTCTAAAGTCACATTCTAAACGCTCTTGCAAATATATTTGTACCAGGTTGTAACTTAAATTGTGCCTATACGGGCTGTTTTTCACTTTTATTCACTAATTTTCACAAAATTGGAAAAGTGTTGCTTTGAAGTCAGATTGCAATTGTGCAATTGTGAATATATTTGTACTATATTGTAACTTAGACTGTGCCTAGACAGGCTGTTTTTTTTTCAATAAATTTCACAAAATGGGAAATTTTTTCCTTTAAAGTCACAATCTAAACGCTCTTGCAAATATATTTGTACTAGGCTGTAACTTAGACTGTGCTTATTCGGGCTCTTCTCCATTTTTTCCAAAAACCTCCACAAAATTAAAAAAATTCTAGTTCGATTTTTACGATTCCACTATTCATTTCTACTACTTCCACTGAACACAAATAAATATTAACATTTAAAAAAAACATTTATTTACATTTTTTCCCTTAATTCGCCTCTGCACTTCAGCATACTCATTTACTTAGCAATCTAGACATTCGCTATCCTTATCACTCTCTCGTAAACGGAAAGAGATACGAGATTGCTATACGTATAGCTATCCCTATCACTCTCTTGTTGGCGGAAAGAGAGGCAAGATTGTGTGTACATATATAGTGTGGTGAATAAATACAAGTCTATATTTGTAAAATGATACTTTTAAAAGGGTCTCTGGTTATGTAGTTTACTCAAAATAAATTTTGCACACTTATTAAAAAATGGTAAAATGAAACTAGTGGTTTGTGGCATCGTGCCTTAAGGCAAATTGCTGGAACTTCCCGTACAATAATGGAATACTCGAGGAATTTTAAATATTTTCCTTTAGATTATTATAAATACTGTAACTTTCGTTTTTAGTATTTTATATACAAAATATAATAGTATTAGATAAATTGGACGACCAGGTTTATATATGTTTACATAAAAAGTAAATAAACAAAACTTGATCAAGCGGAGTTGGAGTCGAAGGACCTTATCTCATATTTATAGGAATTACATAAACTGCAGTGCAAAGTTATGATTATTTTTTTAAATATATATGTGAGCTTTAGAATTTTAGCTAGAATTAAAGAATTTAAAGTCAGAATCATTTTAATACCTAATTTTTTTTTAAGGAAATCAAAAAAAAAATATTTAAATTTAAATAATAAAATATTATTTCATATTTTTTTATTTTTAAAAGAATCAAAGAATATTTAATATTTAATACTTCTCACAAGTTTTTTAAAACAATTAATTTTTTTTTTAAATTTTGGAATCTTTCATCAAACTACAAAAAAAAAATTCTTTGGGCCCCAAACACACTTTTAATTTCTGAAATTAATTTTCAAAATGATAAATTTGATAATTGACATTTATGAAATTTTATTTATTTAAGAAGTATATAAAAAAACACCATATTTACATCCAGAACCCACAAATCACGAAGAATAAGCCTAGTAACACTAATTTAGAATTTTTTTGTAATATTTTGTACCAAATTATAAAAATGCTCTCGTAAAGTCACATTCTGAACGCTCTTACAAATATATTTGTACCAGGTTGTGACTTAGACTGTGCCTATACAGGCTCTTCTTTGTTTTCTTCGATAAAAAATTTGCAAAATTATAAATTTGCTCCTTTCAAGTCACATTCTAGACGCCCTTGCAAATGTGTCTGTACTAGGCTGTAACTTAGACTGTGCCTAGACAGATAGGCTGCATTTTTGGAAAAAGGATTTTTTCAATAATTATCACAAAATTGGGCATTTGTACTTTTAAAGTATTTTTGATAATTAAAAAATATTTCTTGGGAATTAGAAAAAAATATTTAAAATTAAATATAAAAAAATATCTATTAAGTTCTGAAAAAATCAAAAAATAATTAATATTTAATACTTCTCACAAGTTTCCTGACTCTTTAAATCTCATAATCGCTTAAAACAAATGTTTATCTAGGTCGTTCTTTTGTATAAACAAGTGTCAAAATATTTTTATGCAATTTTTGCAATTTTTCCCTGAGTAAACTATCACCCAGCCCTCTCTCTATTTGTGTACTAGATAAGGCAACAAATTTAAATCTAACATCGGTCAGTGACAAAGCAACAATGCAAGAGTCAACTACAAATTCCACTACGACCAGTAGATCGAAAAAACGTCGAAATCGACGCAAATGTCGAAAAATCGACACGTCGAACATCGAAGACGACCAAGAAGATAGTGGTGACACCACTAAAAAATCACATGATGCAGTAGAAAATTCAGTTAGTGATGAAACAAATTGTGATTTAGTTTTAAGTAGTGATGGGAATGGATCTAGGCCTAGACGCAAATGTCAAAAAATCGACACGTCGAACATCGAAGAGGATCAAGAAGATAGTGGTGACATCACTAAGAAATCACATGATGAGATAGAAAATTCAGTTAGTGTAAATGATTTATCTGTGAATGATAAAACAAATTGTGATTTAGTTTTAAGTAGTGATGGGAATGGATTTAGGCCTATATCGGATTTTTTTAGTGATGGGAATAGATCTAGGCCTTTGTCGGATTTTGTGAGTGATGATATTCCGACGACTTTGGTGAAATTGACTGGTGGTGTTGTCATCACAGATTTGGATGATGATTGTGTGATTTTAGGTGAGATTGATATAGGTAGTGATGAGAAACTTAATAGGACTAGTTGTGAAAGTTTAGGCCAAGTGTGTAGTGTTAGTACAATAGTGATACCCGAAACAAGTGTTCAAAAAAGTGAATCCGAAAACGAACTGTCTACCTTCAAAGACTATTTACTATCCAAAACTTCAGAACAATACCGTGTAGATTCCCCAGATTTGCCCAAGCAAAAACTAGCAACCAAGAAGAGTCGGAGTTTGGATGAAGACGACACAGGTTTTAAAATTACAGAAGCAATTTCCAGCGACTCCGTCAACGCACCTTCAGAATGCCAAGCAGTGATCTCCGAAGTCGATTCTGAGGTCGAATGGGAAACTGCAGAAGAACTTGACGTCGAAGAAGAAAACAGCACTCTGGATCTACAAGATTTGTCCGACACATGCGACTCCGAGGTCCTAATCAGCGACTTCCAAATGGAAAATTTTGATGTCCTACCAGTAGAAATCACTGACTTCAAGACCGCCGAAGACGATGGTAAAAATAAAACCGATGCTTTGAACGAAATGCGTATCCGACGTGCCCGTAAACGTGCAGCCTTGGAGTCCCACTTTTTACCCCAATTGACAAACCCAAGATATTTAGACGTCATCCAGGAAGAAAGTGAAAGCAGTGGCAGCAAACGCAATAGTACCGACTTTTTGGATTTCATGCGCACCAACGACGAGTACGACTTGGATGATGATGTTTTTGAAGACCCTGATTCCTACAAAGCCAGATACAAAGGTCCTCAGGAGGTAATGCGTAATTGGACGTGCGGTAAATTTTTAAACCGTGAAACTGGTGAAATGATGCTTGTCCGGGGCCAAGATAGTGCCAACGAGTGCTTGTTGCTAGGCACAAAACTTGTGGACACTGAGGCACCTACATCAATATGCAGCGACTGGGTTAAAACTAACTTGCAGGAAAGTTTTGATGAGGCTCCTGAGGTCGTGTATTTGGAGGAAACACCTTCAAGCAGCACTGGAAGTGTCAACGATGATGTAGATGATAGTGGGGGGCGCTTTAGCCCCGAGTTTGATATTGAAAATGTTGATTTGGTGTTGAGGGGGTACGATGCCCTCACACGCAAAGCCCTGGCAGAAAACAAGATGACTGATGAGAAAGGAGACAAGGACAAAATTTGTACTGACTATGATGAGAAAGGAGACAAGGACAAAATTTGTACTGATTATGATGAGAAAGGAGACAAGGACAAAATTTGTATCGATTACGATGAGACAGGTAACGGTGTAGATAAAATAACTTTATTACCTGACAGTGAAGGATCTTCCCGTTGTTCCTCTCGTGCAACATGCGTACCACGCATGCAAAGTCTCGAAGAAGAGTTCACGGATCAACCAAATGATTGTTTTGCAGGAGGAGTTCGACCATCATCCCTGAGGACTTTGTGTCTGCGGGCTATTGCTGCCCAACCTTACGGCGAGGACATTCTTCAAGAACTGGCGGAGGTTGCTCGGAACTTGGATATGAATACCCGGAAAGAGTGCAAAAGGTTTGTACGAGATGTTAAGGTTACAACACCACCTGTGGGCATGGGGAGACGATTGAGCACGGGATCGAAATCACCGCCCATTGGGGGTGAGGAGAGTTATCATAATTCTAGGAGACAGTCTGAGCCGGAGGAAAAGAATCTGATGGACTTAAAATCTCCAATGATAACTGATGATGAATGCACGCCGGAGGCATCCAGGGTGCCTTCAAGACCAGATTTCATAGATCTGGTTACCATTAAGTCTCCAACGTTAAAAAATACCAAAGATCAACAGTGGGTACTAGGAGTGCCTACTAAAAGCGATCCTGGTGTTTTAATGTGTCTATCCAAAAAGCAAACAGAAGTCAAAATTGAACCAAACTCTGCCGACGCAATTTTGGATTTGCACGAGAAGTATTTGGAACGTGTGACGTCTCCAGATTCTAGTGCCATACCTAGGCGCACCTTAGATCACAATGAGACTGCACGTGTTGAAAATTTATACAAATCCGAGATCATGAAAACTGAAAACAGTAAGAGTGATGGTACTGATGTGATGTTCAGGAAAACTTGGGAAGATCCTGAATACTCAGCTGATGACAGGACTAAAAGGTTGCTCAAGAATGAACTCCTGAGAACTTGCAAATCCAGTTGCTCGATACCTTACACGTTGGAACAAGACAATTCAAATGTCGACCAATCAAGTATTGACAGACTTCATAGGTTGTACAAAAGTGAACTACGTTTGGCACAACCCAACGAAACTCTTACCAAACGCAAAATATCATGTCCAAAAACCGATGATGCATCCTGGATCAAACTCTACGATGCCTCGAGTGACAAAAATTGCGAAGAAAGCATCACAAATCGTTTAACACAAGACAACAAAGGTTCCACTGTATCCTTAAACGAACCACAATCAACCACCAAACATCACGTTGACACCAGACGATTTTCTTTGCCAAAAGAGTTGCACGAGAAACAGATGCAGTACATTTTGGAAAAGGAGCGCCAAATCCAAAAGGAAATCGATGACTTGCAAAGGGAAAAGGAACTTTTGCATTTGGAGGAACTGGTTGCAAAAACTAGACAGAAGGCTGAAGATGCCAGGAGTAAAGGAGAGCCAGTTAAATCTGGAGCTGATAGACGTGGGAAGAATAGAATTTTTGATAGCAAATTCAAAGTTTTGGATGAAATTAGTGAGTTGGATGATTGTGTTGAACGTTTGGAGAGACTTGCTGAGGAAGCTAGGAAGGAGGATGGTGTCGAGGTTTGTCTAAAACCCAAGGTTTGTCCAAAACCCGAGGCTTGTTCAAAACCCGAGGCTTGTCCAAAACCCGAGGCTCGTCCAAAACCTTTGGGCGCCCACCAAAAATTATTTGATGAGTTGACCCCGCACCAACGTTTGATGAAGGAAATTGAGGATATTGAGAATTTGAAGTACCCACTGCCAAGAAGTATAGACCAAGATTTTTATGAACTCAAGGAAACCTCAGAGGAACCTGAACCGCCAAATCCTTTCAAGAAGTACTTTGACGAAGACTTTAACAGTTCAGAAATCATCAAGGAGATTTCAAAATTACCCAAGACAAATATTAGGAAAAGTTATTCGCACCAAGATATTTCCCATACGAGCAAACTGGTTGGCACCAAAAGTGCACCAAACACACCACAAAAACAAACCAAAAAGTTAGACTTGATATCACCAGAAGAGCATTTACGTAACCAAATGTACTCCGAATACATGTCTAAAGTGGCTGAACGTGAAAATCGTAAACACCTACACGTCATAAAGTTATCCAAACACCACCAAGAATTAGAACATACTGAAACCCAATTGAAAGCCAAGATTGAGATCAACATGTCTGCACAAATCGAGAACGAGTTTATGGAAAAAGTTAGGAAACGTTGTGACAAATTTGGTCTCCAAAACACTGATGATGAAGCCCAAGAAGACTTGGCACAATCTGTACCTAATTTAAAAGTTTTTGATGGTGTTGGTGTGGATATTTGTGATGGTAACAAGTTGCCTAAACATTTGCTGGAGTTTGCAGAACTGGGGACAGATGACGAATCACAAAATTTGGTATGCGCTCACGAGCAACTCACGGTAAACCAAAGGGTTGCTCCTAAAAAGCCTAAAAGCAAATTTACTGAGGTTTTGGAGTTCCAAAATTTGATGTCCGACGTGTCCGATGAAGAGGCGTCTAAACTTTTCGATCTTCTGGTCAAGGAAGAAAAACAAAAAAAGTACCAGGATGTTGAGGATATTCCTGAAGCCATCAGGAAGGAAGAGGAGCGTTTGGTGAAAGTTGTCCACCAGGATGTTGAAAATATTCCTGAAGCTATCAGGAAGGAAAAGGAGCATTTGGTGAAAGTTGTCAGGAAAGAAGAGCAGAAATTGGTGGACGTTGTCCATCACGATGTTGAAGATATTCCTGAAGCCATCAAAAAGGAAGAGAAGCATTTGATGGATGTTAATGGTGAGTCAAGACTTATCAGAATGAGATATTTTGGAATCGTGGCTTTTGTTGCTGTGGTTTTGGGATGGAAACTTGCTAAAAATGCCTTGAAATAACATTCTAATTTGATGTGCAACGTTTTTTTGGATGTGATGTCTCTGTGAGATATTAAAATGACTAACAGTTTTTTTGTGGAAAAACTTATATAATCAAGAATATTTTTTTGAGTTTCTTGTTGTTTTTGTCAGTGAAGTATTGTTTTTTTGTATAAGTTTGTCTTGATATTAAACTATTATTATTATTATTTTATATATAAGAATTTAGTTATTACTAAATTTAACTAAATTTAACTTAATTTATTAGTTTAATACTTAATTAAGTATTAGTTTATCAAAAGGAATGATATTTTTGTTCTAGTTGTTTTTGTTGCTGTTGATATTAACATTAACATTGTTGTATTCAATGTGATATTAGTTCTAATAAATCTTAGAGACTGAATTGAAGAGATTTTGTTTGCGTTTTTAAAATAACTTTATTTATCTAAAATTAGAAATAATTGAGAATGAAACCTCTTTGCATATCTTTACGTTTCAGAGGTTTCTGAACATTTTGGCATACCTTAGAAAAATTTTATGTGTGTATGGATGTATGTTTTAATACAGTTTTACAAAAACAAAAGCTTTATAAATATACAGGTTTATAACTACACAGGCTTCACAAATGGATAGGTTTTTAAATAGCCAGGTTTATAAATGGACAGGTTGTTAAATGGACAGGTTTGTAAACAGACAGGTATTTGTAGATACAGGTTTATAAATAGATAGTTTTATAAATACACATACAGGTTTATAAGTAGACAGACAGGTTTGTAAATCGCCAGGTAGGTTTATGAACGAACAGGCAGGCTTGTAAATCGCCAGGCAGGTTTATAAATGTACAGACAAGTTTGTAAATTGACAGGCAGTTTTTTATGGTTTATAAATAAGCAGACAGGTTTATAAATGGACAGACAGGTTTATAAATAGGCAGACAGATTTATAATTAGACAGATAGACAGGCAGAACGGTATTTATCGAGGCAGACAGGAATTTATACAGACAGGTATTAAAATAGACATGAATTTATATATTCAAATTCATGTATTCAAATAAACAGATATTGAAATAGACAGGTATTGAAAGAGCCAGGTATTGAAATAGACAGGTATTGAAATAGACAGGTATTGAAATAGACAGGTATTGAAATAGACAGGTATTGAAATAGACAGGTATTGAAATAGACAGGCATTGAAATAGACAGGCATTGAAATAGACAGGTATTGAAATAGACAGGTATTGAAATAGACAGGTATTGAAATAGACAGGTATTGAAATAGACAGGCATTGAAATAGACAGGTATTGAAATAGACAGGTATTGAAACAGACAGGAATTGAAACAGACAGGCATTGAAACAGATAGGTATTGAAATAGATAGGTATTGAAATAGACAGGAATTGAAACAGACAGGAATTGAAACAGACAGGAATTGAAATAGACAGGTAGGAAATAGAGAGATAAATAGTTTGACATTTAGTCAAGTATACTCATAGACTGATAGATAAGTAGACAGGTAAAAGTTACCTAAAAGAAGTGTATACAATCTGGTAAATGGTAGAATGATAGACAGGCTGACAATTAGCAGACAGGCTGACAGGTAAGCAAATAGAAATTTAGACGGGTAGACAAGTACACAGGTAGAGAATTATCTAAATAGCGTAAACATATACATAGATAGGTTGGTCGAAAGGTTGACAGATACGACAATAGACAATTTGACAGATGCAAATATAGAATGGTAGGCATATAAAAAGCAAATAAAAAAAATAAACATTTTGTTAATTTTCTTAGAAATGTATCTTAATTCTGAAAATATTTAATTGTGAATTTGTTATGTTATCAAATGTTTATTACCTATATCTAATCTAAACGATTCCAAGGTCTTCGCGTCTTTACTTTGCCGATGATAGATTATGTTCAAACAAATTTCCATGATTGTAAAAATTGTATAAAAAAGTAAAACTTATCAATACTGACAAAAAACGATTGCTGATTTTAAATCCTAAAACATATGGAAAAAAATTATAAAAATTAATTATGGTTTGTACTAAAATTTCATTTTTAATATTTGAACAAAAATGTACAACTATTAAAAAAAATCTTAAATTAGTAATATGAATTCATAAGACGTTCATTAATTAGTAGATAAATTTTTATTCACATTTGCTAAAATTTAATATCATTATTAATATATCTATATTAATTTTCTTAACTTAAATTTGTTACTTCTTGTGTCTTCATACATTTCTGAAAAAATCATTTGTCTATGTGCCTTTGTTCAAAAATATTTAAAAAAATCCTATGATCTATTTCTATTTTATCATGTGACGTTTTTGTGTAAACGTATCTTTTTGTACATTTTTTTAAAATGAGAAATTATTGTTTAAATTTTTATTAAATATTAGTGACAATAAGGAAAATTATACACGAGCACAAGGTCAAAATATCTGGTACAGTGCCCTCGAAATTGCCTTTGGAAAACAAACCAAAAAAAATTTTTGGTGATAGAGATTTGGGACTTTTGGAAGAAATTAGCAGGTCTTTAGTTCTTGCTGGAGATTTTTTGGCTAAACGTGGTATGATAATAATTTATTTTAACCTTATAATAAATATCCAAAAAAGCAAAAATCATTAGTATAATAATTGTAATAAATAATTTATTTAGGTAAAGTTGTTTGAGGAAATATTTTTTTACATACACTCTGATTTACATTTTTAATTTGTCTCGTTTGCAAAATATTTTGGAAAACTAAAGTTAATTTTTTGGAAACTATACTTCTAAATTTATTATTATGTTTTTTTTTTAAATTTCCAAAATATTAGAAACATTTTGTGATATGCAACTAAAACAACTTTAAAAAACACTTTTAAATTAAATTAAAGGATCTCTTCCATATAAATTTCTATTATGGTGTTCCTTAAGGTTAGACACTTGGACCACATTTTTCCTTACTACTGCTGTTTTTTTTTATAAAATTGTATATGATCGATCTATGTATGTTTGTGTGTATGTTTATTTTTTGTATGTATATATGTTTGTTTGCATTATCAAAGCTCTAACGATTTAGTACGATTGAATCAGATTATTAGCTAATGGCTCCACGCACGATCCATTTTACTATAAATAGCTACAGCCCACACGATATATTAAAATTACAACGATTCAAAAAGGATATACGCATTATGTATATATATATATATATATAATATATATATATATATATATTTGTGTATAATGCAAACCGCAAAGTTTATATTTGGATTTTTAAACTAGCTATAAAGCTTAAATTCATAATGGATTATAAAGTCAATTGCTATTTATTGTCCAGATTTTTTTAGTAACTAGGTGTAAGTGGTATTTTGCCTTAAGGCAAGTTACAGTTGCCTAACTAACTATATTAAATAGTTATTAAAATATACAGTAAAAACGTTAGTTTAAAGTATATTATTTCATCATGAATGAATAAGAATTCACATTAAAGAAATTTTCAAATTAAAATTTTGGTACACATACATATTTTGTCTAATTTTGGTGTCAAACGATTCAGAACAACCTGAAACGTCTAAAAAGCTTTCTTTGGAAAATTCAGAAAAACTGAATTTGAATTTAGTGTGACCAATTTACCAAAACATTTGAGTTATGATAAAAAAAAAATGATAGAGAAAAATGAGTCCAGGGTTCTATCCAAACTTCGGACAGCTTGATATCAAGCAGAATTGTATCAAATTCAGGTGGTAGATATCAAATAAAAACTTCAATTGCAAGTGAAAATTTGATGCAATTTCATAAATGAACTAATTTAATATTTTATAAAAACCATAACAAAGTGGGCTAGTACAAACTAGTTTCTGGTTTTATCTCATCCTCGGGCATCAAGCAGTGTGATATCAAATGATCACTTTAGGTCGTAGATCTCAAATATAAACGATTATTTAATAACAATATACATCAGACATATATATCTGACATGGCGATTAACATGTTAATTTTAGATAGAAATATTTTCGTGTATTTTCAAAAAACAATATTTTCAAAAAAACATAAGTCTACAAAATAAAATATATCAATCAGTTTTTCCTTTGGTCTAATAGGCCTAATAAATCCAATCAGCGTCAACTCAAAATATACATCTGAACAGACGAAATTTTGTAACAACATACATACAGGCGGACAGGTATAGGTTTCAGTGGTGGCCAAGGATTTTTTTTGGAATAAAGTTTGTATGACAATGTTTGTCCGGAATGTACTCGTAAACTACTGAACCGATTTTAAATTTTATTGGCTTATTGTGTATCCAACTTAGGTTATAGGGTATATTAAAAATTACAGTTTATATTAGTAATATCAAAATTTTAAAAATTTCATTTAATTTTGACACAGAGAGAGAAATATAGAGAAAGAGGGAGCGAGAAAGCAAGATTAGGATTGTATCACGATGTTTGTCCTGGATGTACTCCTAAACTACTGAACCGATTTTTAATTTTATTGGCTCATTGTATACATTTGTATCCAACTTAGGTTATAGGGTATATTAAAAATTACAGTTTATATTAGAAATATCAAAATTTTAAAAATTTCATTTAATTTTGACACAGAGGGAGAAAGATACACAGAGAAAGAAAGAGAGAAAGATTGTGTGACGATGTTTGTTCTAGATGTACTCCTAAACTACTGAACTGATTTTATTTTTTTTGGCTCATTGTGTGCATTTATGTTCAACTTAGGTTATAGGCTATAATAAAAATCTTAGTTTATATTAGAAATATTAAAATTTTACAAATTTTGAATAATTTGACAGTAATAAAAAAAACACTATGAATTGAGTTGCCAATGTTTCTAGAAACAGATAAAATGATTTATGATTACATTTTGTTTACAGTGTTCATTCAAGTACAACAAAGTCCTTGAAATACTACTACTAATTTCGAAAAAACACATTGACAGTTTTAAAAATCAAATATTTTTGATAAGAAACAAATATTTCTGAAAGATGCAAAGACAAAAAAATTGATAGTAAG